GGCACAAATATTTCTCATATCTTAACCGAAATAATAGAACATTTATGAGCTACTCCTGGCATCCAAATTTTTTCAAAGTGCAGTTCGATGTTATGGACTACGCATTAAATAAAATTTCGATAGGCCTACGACCACCCACCCCCCATTCTCCATTTTCTAGGACACAACAAACAAAAAAAGGAGGCAAAAACAAAATTAATTAATTTATGTGCCAGGCGGAATTTTCCATGGCAATACACACTCACACCAACACAAACTTGATACACACACAGACAGAGACGAGCGTCTATTGATACAATTTTTCCAATTTCAACGCCATCCTCTAGCAATCTACTTGTTGTTTTTGCTGTTGTGTTTGTTGCCTGTCCTGTTGACAACGAGTGCGACAACAACAACTTGAACTCATTACAAAAACATAATAACAAAATAAATATTGAAAGAAATGGCATAAAATTATAAAAGCCTTGTCCGCAACGAGGAAAGCTGCCAGCCGCAGACCGAAGTGAAAGTGGATGTCCCCCTGCCCCTCCCCCTTTTCCCCCTTGGAAAACCCTGCTCTCCCGCCTCCCCCCAAAGCGCCAATAAATTTTATGCACTATCACACGAAACACACACAAACACACACACACACACAACCGATTGCTGAGTGCGTAAGCTGCTTAAGGGAAATGAAAGTGGAAATGGAAAAGCGAAAGGAAAAGCGCTGGCAAGTGGCGGTCAGTGTGTGTGGTCAGACTTTGAAAACGTAGCCGTGGGGGAGTTTGCATTATTCAAGTAAAAAGAAGGCCGCAAAGTAAATAAGCAAACACGCCCAAACCCCAAAAACCATGACTTTTATACTTTTATCTCACAAAATGTCCGGCAACAGACACTCGGAAAGGAGTATCTGAAATAAATCAATAACTGCAGACCAAAAGATAAAGTAAGTGCCGGTAATAATTTCTTTAAATCTCCTTAAGCCGCTTTTCGGTGGCGTTGATTGCTGTGCGTACGGCACTAACTATTTATACATTTTCATACGAATTATAACAAGTAATCTTATCTTTAACTTCTGTTCTTTATCAAATATATTAAGGTTTTTATACTCCTGCCGATTTTAGGTCAAGGCAATTGCAAATTAGAGATACGTAAGCTACGAAATATTTTTTAAGGTATATATTTTCAGAGCGAAGATTATTTCTTGTATTTATGATTAATGAAAAACTGGCGACTATGAGTAAAATAGTGTAAGCATCTTAGGTATATGGTATCGTTATCAGAGATCAGATAGGCAACTGATATGTCATATAAGCCCAGCTCCCGAAGACATCGCCAAGCAATGCGAAATGGCGAAGGTCGTTGAGCAGAACGCTTTTGGTCGCTTTTACATCATGCTCGCGAAGATCGAAAGCGAGGCGAATATCTACCAGCGATTTGGCATCACGAAGGCACTCCTCTCCTTTATCACCACCGTGGCTGCCTCAAGGATAGGCAGGGGTCTGGGCACTAACCACCGCCCTAAGGGAAATAGGTCGGGCCAAGGGATTTCCTCTGATGGTAGCCAACTGCACCAGCTTCTACTCTGCCCGCCAAAAGGAGAACCTGTGCATGGAGTGCATCCACACACTGGTCTACGCCGACTACAAGGACGAGTCGGGACAACCCGTCTTCACCCCGGTAGCGCCCCACAAAATGGCACGAGTTATGACCATTAAACTGTAAGATGAGAAAGATAGGAAAGAGCAAATGTTTGGCCAGAGATTTTTAGTGTAATGCCTAGACCAGTGTTTCCCAAACTTGTCGGGACCGCGACCCACCTACCGAAAAATTTCAAGATCTATATGACAATTAGTACCCACAAAAAATCTACCCGCGACCCACCAGTGGGTCGCGACCCACACTTTGGGAAATACTGGCCTAGACAGTTTATCAACCAAATACGCTTTATCTTAAATAAATTTTATTTTTTATTACAATTTTATCACACTTATAAAATTGGCGGTGATTATTTCTGACATGTGTGTTTGCACATGCTCCACAGTCATGTGGTGTTAATATTTCTCAACTAGTAAAAATGTGTTTCTGTGTTTCTCACAAATATCCCTTTAATCTTTAACAACTTCCAAAAGATCAACAGTAGACCCTCGAACAATGACCAGCATGTAAAGACTTTAGACATTTTTGACCGACGCGTGTCTTGATTTAAAAAACCCAGAATCGAACTCAAACTCGCACCCCAGAAAGAGTCGATTTTTACACAAAAACCCTGATACTTTCCTTATCTTTAACACCCCGGGAACAAAAAAAACACGGCTGCGGCCCCTAAGCCGTGGGCAAACAGAGACGCGTGCGCCAATAGTATCAGAATCGAGTAAGTAAACAAGATCCATAAAAAGCATAAGATACTGGCGAGTGTGTGTTTGTATCCGTGTTTGCGGCACGGGTAGTTTGGGTTTTTAAAAACCGTTTGGACCCTACGAACTGAGAAATCGTGGCAGCTGCCAGTCGAATGTGAAATGTGAAATGTGAAATCCACACGCGTGCGAAGCGTGTGGTGCCCCCAAAAATTGTCAAAAGGAATCGACATAAATTTCATTAGAGTTTACAGTTGCCTGCATTGTTGCACATGGAAACCGGGAGGAGCAGAAAAGGGTTGCCCGATTGGACAGTTTTCGAAAATGTGTAAAATTTAGCCCAAAACTAAAGGGGTCACCGAATTACTTTTGAGCGCAAATGAAGCGGACAGAATGCGAAATCCTCCCATGACACTGAAAAGGGTTAGGGGCTATAGGGTAAGGGGTAAGGGGTAAATGGTAAGTGCTGCTGCCCTGAACCCCTGCTCATTGTAAAATTTCATTGCAATTTTCTCTGGATAATGCGAATTTTGCAACAAAAAATTTCTTGACATTTTCCGCATAAAAATCGCAAAGGGTCGGGGGTTATGGGTGCCGGGGGTAAAAAGGGTCACCCAGTGCTGCCGCTCATTGTGTAAATAAAGGATCAGGCGAGTGCAACCAACTGTCACACGTCCATGCGAAATTAATAAATTACATTTTCTCATTTTTTTTCGCGCAAAAATCTTGCCGATTTTTTAACCCAAAAAAAAGGGCAGGGGAAAAATTAAATTTTCGGGTGCAAGAAGGGGTTGTGCGACACATTAACTGAGCCCATTAATAAGCGTAGCCAACCCCGGGTGACACGTGGGTCAATGTCGCCCGACCTAAAACCTTCACAAGGACGACAGGCGGCGCGAAAATGGGTGAAAAAACAACAATAGAAAAACCCAAAAAAAAAAAAACAGCAAAAAACTGCAAAAAAGGAAGCCCGTTAAAATTCTCACTCGATTTGAAATCGGGATTTTTCAATAAATTGGCACAAACCTTGGCAATTCCGTCTTTGTTCGCCAGGCAATAATCCTCTTAACTGCAGCGACTGTCGCAAAATTGGAACAAAGGCGAAGGGAAAATGAAAATGTTGCATAGGGGCACCCAGTAGCTGGTAGCTGGTTCCTTCCCTCCTTCCGCTCCTTGTTTTTCCGGGGAGTAGTTAAATAAATGAGATTTCAGTGGGAACAAAGGCGGAAGCCTTCTTGGATAAGCCGGTAACTAGGAAGGACCGCTCCAGTGATTAGCCAACAAAAAACTGCACCACGCTATGAAGTTAACCAGGGGATTTCCCGCTACCGTTGTAAGCGTTGTAATCAATTAAGGTTTTTTCAACTGTACAAAACTTTAAAATAAGTATAATTTATTTAATTAGGAATAATGTAAGCATTCATAGTTTAGATTCTTTGCCTAAGAGCTTTGTACAATTAATTTTTTAATTATTGTCTTTGATTTTGGAATAACCATACAAAATGCTCAAATGTTGTGATGATACACATCTTTGAATTAATGATTTAATTAGATGATTAAGAAAGCAATTAATGTAAGCAGTAAAATAATATAATAAAAGAATGTTTTGCGTAATAAACGGACAGCAATAATAGTTTTAGAGTGTTTACTAGTACTTTTGAAGAATGTTATTATTCTGGGCGCAAAATAAATTGGTTTCACTAAATATCAAACTCAATAGATTCAGACATTCGAATTAAATTAATAGCAGGGAATTTGTGACACAAACGATTTATTTTACCAAAATCTGTTTGGTTTTTGTGTTTCCGATTACCGGTTTTGACTGAATCACTTCCGTAAGGGGGACACCTTTTCGCCGACATGCCGCCACTGAGTAACGCCCCCTCCCGCCCCTTTTTTGATTTTTTCAATTTAGAATTTTTTTCGCAATATAAATATGTTTTCAAATAAAGTTGAAAAATTCAGCTTTTTATCTTTAACCGTTTTCTCAAAAAATTGTTATTTTAAAAGTGTCAATTTTCGGCCCTACAAGGTGAGAACCTGCTTTAAATTGTTACGATGTCGGATAAATGGACGTTAGATTGATTTAGATATAGTGAATTTTTATTTACCTTTTTAACATATTCATCGTTAATATGTTAAATTACTTCAAAATTTAAAAATTTACTACCTGTTTGTTAAACAAGTTGTATTAAAATCTAAATGCTATGAATTTTAATAAAAAATTTTGCAGTAAAAAAAAAACAAATTGTTCTCAGAAATAACCAATTTGAATTTTTAACCAGGTCATTGATTTTAAATAATCGTGATTGAATTATTAAATTATAAAGTAATGTTTGTCAACATCCTTTAAAAAAGTTTACAAAAATAAAAAGCTAGGTACACTTAGTTTTCAAAGGTACACTAGTAATACGTGTACAATTGGTTTAAAACTGTGATATGTTTATAGTAAAGCATCTGCGTGGGTTAGGGACCGCGCTAACTTCCTATCCTTTGTTTGGCGTTAAACTTATGAAATCGAACAAAGTTGCTTTTAAAATTAAGCAATTTGTATTTTACATTTCCTTTCCTAATGGTTTTAATTCAATTTCTTTGTTTAAACATTAAACTTTATTAAGCAGTCGATGAATACAAAAATCGATACATCGGTAGCACCGAAAATCGTTTTTGTTTCATCCCTAATATGAAGTAGTAAAACAAGACATATTTTTTGCAACATTTTTAAACGAAATCGACCAGACTGCGATTGTTTGGATACATTTGAAGCCCCCCAGCGACTGTGACTCTCTCTTCCTCAAAACAAACGAATCAACATGGTTGTTGGGTGAGTCCGGGTGCGTTTGTTTGAGACTTACGTAAGCCTTATTCGGGGATATTCCTGTGATCTTTTACAGACTTTTGCTGCGCGGCGGTCTGCTGGCCGGAACCGTCTACTACACACGCAAGGTGGGCATCTGGGGCGACTCGGACCAGACGGACAAGATCTACAACAACGTGAAGTCGGAGCTGTGTCCGCATGTCCAGAAGCTGCAGAAGCAACTGCCCTTCGAAGTGCCCCAGTTGCCGAAAACCGGCGAGATGCGCTTCCTGGCCAAACATTACTACAACGAGGGCGTGAAGAACACCTTCCGCTTTATCCACATGCTGCCCTGCTACGCGGGACGTGGCCTCAAGAAGGTCAAGGATACGTTCCAGGACTTCTCCAAATCTCCTGCGATTACCGGCGAACAGGAATCCAATGCGGCGAAGTAACTTAACCAACTGCCCTTCAATGGCAGGCTGTTTTCGTGTTAGCTCATAGTTAGCCTACTGAATAATGTTGTAATGTGTCGTTATTCCCCGATCCGCACGAGAGTGGATCCGCGACTATAAGATCTGTTCTCGACGTACTGAAACGTATCGAACTGGAACTTCCAGTTTAGAAATAAACAAATTTACGTGGTAAGCGGTAAGATCGCTCTGAAATGTTGATGTAATAATTTGTTTACACGGGAAAAATTAGGTTTTATAGTCCACAAATTCGGGGGTTAATTTTGTTTTCAAAAAATATTAGTATAATTTCGACATTTTGTGAATTAGTGTTGCGACAGAACAACATAATGGCTTGAAGCATTTTTATAAGTTTATTTTTCTTTCCAAAAAGATTGAAAAATATTGAGAAATGTACGTTTATTAATTAATACCGTTGTGTGGTCTTAACTTCAACATTACGTATACAAAGATTACTATGGATGTATACAAATCTTTAAAAAAAAGTCAACCTTAAAAATAATTAATTCATATACACCCCTACGAATATATTTACATTCATATTATTAGGGCATGATATTTTCCACTGTAGTTGGATTCATTTGCTAGACAGTTAACCTAATATTTCAACGATATATATATCTTGCTGTTACTTTTTTTAGCCGCTCATTTATTTAGATCTTTTCGTGTCCACGTAAGACGCCTGTCACAGCGCACTTTCCAAACAGAGCGAAAACAATGAGCAACTGATTTATTATCACACTACATCACCAAGTTTTTGTGCCAGCTCAGAATCATCAGCTCTTGTATTTGGCCCGTTAAAAACTGAGCAGAATGTCACGATGATGGGCTTTTTGAAGCACGTGAATGAGCTACTCTTTTGTTTTTTTTTTTCGTATGCCAGTCTTCTCAAATTTCTCCCACACACGCCGATAATAAAGTGTGGCAAGAAGGGGAAGCGCTTTCGATTTCGTTTACACTTTCTGTTTTGTCTCTGATAACTTGAAATTATTGCTGTAAACAACGCGATGTTCTAGATTGGCAATAGCTGTATAAAAGATGGCCGACTCTTGTTCATCAGATCGGTGATAAAGCCTGCCAGTCTGCCAGCATTGCTTGACTTTAACTGACTCAGCAGTGGATGGTTGACATTTTACAGCAGCTTCCGCTATGACAGCACGTTACGCATACGCCACAGTGGCAAGAGTAAATATTAAACATTACTTTAGGAGGCGCAGCAAATAAAAACCCAAAGACGTCACCGGGGGCGAACGCACGCCGCCCACTGATAACAGTTTAGTGCCTCAATTGGGCTACCAGGAGTGAGATAGAGCTTGGCCAAATATTATTAAAAAACTCGTCAAAAAGTACCAAAGATAGACCTGCCTGACCATCTTAGTTCGTTCGGCTGTCATTGCTTTAATTTTAGCCACCCACTTGAGACAATGACCGTCCCCCGATTATCTCCCCGGTAATAATACACGATTTTAATTTCGATTACTTTGTTATTTGCCTTTCTATTTATGATATTTGCCCAATGCCAGTGGCGCTGGCTTCTATTTACATAGCCCCACCATGTTTTTAATTAATTAAACTTTTCGCTTGTTTATTGGCGGTGACGACCCAAACACAAGCAACTGTCTGCTGCCTGCCAGGCAGGGAGGAGATGCCGTCTTCAGATAAGGAACTTACCACCTCCCCATGACTCATCCATAAGTGAGATAAGGCCGCAGATCGGAGATCGGAGATCTCAAGGAGCCCAAAGATCGAACCGAATCACGCTGTCACGTGCTAACCAGGACTTCATTGCCGCACATGGTGGCCAAATATTTGCGGACAAACACGAAATCACATTGCCAGCGACCCATAAAATCGGTGCAAATATCAATATAACCTCTAAACGGCCCCGGCAAGCAACACCTCCACGGCTTCCGACCAGATCGCAGTTTGGGCCATGGCAATGACTCCGGTAAACAGGCGCAAATGGGCCAGGGATACAAATACTGATATAAACACCCACCGCACAACGCGATAAGCAAAGGCCAAGTTCTGCTCTTTCTTCGCCAAATTGGCCAAATAGAACACAAGTGCTTGTTTGCCTGGGCATTGCGAACAATAATTAAATAAGCCTTCTTGTTAAATATTCGCAGATCAAATTTGCTCAGCCACGAGCATTTCATTTAATTAAAGTTCCTAAAATAACCGCGATAAGAGGTGAGAAATTGAGAAGAGTCATGGGTGAACTGACGTAAGTAAATTGTACCACAGCACGGTATTAAATTACAAATTTATGCACGGCCATAGCATTGGTTTTATTATTTAACCCTAGTGATGTTTTGTCAAAAGATGATAAGAAATGCAAACCAAAAAAGAGACTTGTTTGTTAAAAATGAGTTATTATTACAAAGGATATAGAAAGAATGTGAAGGCAGTAAACATTATATTTAAATTGCCATCACCAGCATACAATATATTAACACAAAATTCCTTTCATTACAACATCGCTGGCGAATTAAATAATTTGTCAACAGGTACACGTGTTTCACAGCCTCCGTTTGGGAAAAAATGAAATAAAACTGTTGCTCCCCAGTAAGCTACTCGTGTTTACCCCTCAAATTGCTTGGCTGCTCGTAGATCAGTCCTCAAGTGAATTGCGAATAGCGAATAAATCATTCAAACATAACCAGCACCAATCGCGATCCACTCAAGTTTCAGACTACTGTCCGCGGGCCAACTAATTGTGTTTGACAAAACGATATTAACTCATTTCGCTATTGGCCATTTGTCATATATTCAATTATTGTCACACTCTCAATTCTGTGTCACGTCGCGGCTTGAGGTTTGCCGTTGCCTTTGCCTTCGCCAGCTCATTATTATTAACGATATTATGGGCATTGGGGTGCGGAGCTGCGGATTCCGACCTCAGAGCATAATCCCTTGGCCCGATCGTTCAACCAGGAGGATCGCGCACCCAGCTGATAAGAATTGAATAGTTTCGCTTGGGGACAATGGGGGGTTTGTTGAACCTGCGGCAGTCAAGCAGCCACTGGGCACTAAGTCGGACTCGATCATCTGCTGAATCTGCTGATGGAGCGGAACGCAAATAAGGCCAAGAGCGTGGGCAAACATTACAGGCTTAATTAGAAGCGCGGGTGGTTAGACACTTGGGCAAATAACCAACCATATGACTTCTCATCTAATCGTTACACACTCCCAGATATGCTTATGCCTGGAAAACTGACAAGAAATGCGACTGCCTCTAGTTTGAGTGCTGCTGCTGCCTCAATAAATGTTACGAATATTTATTCTGATAAGTATGGAAAATGCAATACGGCCGCGATACCGGTTTACTTACAGACGCAACAGCGATGCTTCCGATTTGTGCACAGCAAAAAACTCGCAACTAATATAAGTACCAGTAATAGGGTAACAACAAAAACATTGACCTATATACAATTAATGTTTTTATAGACATCTGTTTTTGGCATATTTTGGGATACTTTCATGTTACATTTTAGAGGTAAGCGGCACGTATACGTAATATTGTTCATAAATAGTACTTTAATAATGTTCGTTGTTTTCGGAAACAAATAAAAACTCTTTTAAAATTATTAAAAGCGTGTTTCCTAATCGTTAAAAGAAATTGTATTCAATTACAATATTTTAGTCTTAGTCTATTTACTCGGTCGTTAAAAAAAATAATGGGTGCAAAGCATTGTTTAAACTAAGAAAAACAACTATTTATTGATAACCACGTTTTGGGGACCCCTTTTCTCCGAGTGGCAAACGCACGCGGACGGGTGTATCTAGTATATGGTCTATAGAATGCTTATAAGTGAGGCGATCCCCAATCGACCCTGCGCTATTGCCTTCCAGCTCTTGACCAGCTAACAGTATCCGCTGCTGCCGCCGCTGCTGCTGCTGCTGCTGTTTCCGATCTCGAGTGGTTCGGTTGGGAGTTGAGAGGTGAGCGTTGAACGTTCAACGTTGAGAGCTCCCCCGAAAGTAGTACCCGGTCTTATCAGACCCGAAAAGGCCGAAAAAGCCGAGCCGAGGGCTGTACCGCCCACAACTCAGTGCGATTTGGGGCGTCGGCAGAGAGCGTTAACTGCTTCTCCGGGCTTTTCTGTATTTCTGGGGGGCGCAAACGCGGCGCGATCTCAAACCGCCGGTGGCTTTAGACCGGAGCGACAGGCACTCGTCCTCGAGAGAGCTGCGGAAAACTCAATTCGTGAATAAAATCACCGACCGACGTGGATTTGCATTAATCGCGAAGTGAATGTGTGAAGTGAATGTGCGAGGAGATCGTGTGAAACATGAGCATATAATTTGACAAGCCGACTAATTCGAATCATTTCGCCTACGGCCACGAAAAGCAAAAGTTGCAGACCTCCCCCAAGTCAGATAAAATAATATAACTGTTAAGATAACCCCCCTGAAAATGAAGAACCTTAGCCTGTGCCAAGTTTTGTGGATTACGCTGATCTTCAGCTGCAGCATCCGGGCTTCAGTAAGGTGAGTTTTTACCAGATTTCACCGGGAAACACCCACACTAGACATCTTCTGATTAATGGGCCAAATTAACATGTCTGTGTACCTCCAGCGGTGGTCTGATAAAGATACATTCTTGCAGAACTGTCTATATTTAGCTAATAATTTTTTTTGTTATTTTTCCATTCGGAGAGCCAAGTAACTTTCCAATAATTTATCAAGCCATGCAACTTTCCTCAATCAACCAAAAGATACAAAGCATTTCTTGAATATTTCCCCTATAGATTAATTCGATAGGGCACTTGATATTTGTAAACACTCAAGTAAAATAGAAGTAAAGAATAAACAATATATTGTCGAAATTCCCATCTAGATCGTTTTGATAAGGGTGCTTGAAAAGTGTCTGATAATGAAGACAAAAGATGTTCCGGAGAAAATGTTTACATGGAAGCTGATAAGAAAAGGGTTACGCATGGGAGAATTTAGTAACTTTGTTTATACAAGTTTCCCGTCCCTGACATGCGTAGGTTTTCCCAGACTTTTTAATTCTTAAATCAGTTATTCTCTGCGGGATTTTGTTGTTCTATGCTCTGGAATTCCCCCAAAGCCGCTGATAAACATCTCCAAGTTTGCGTAAATAAATCCTCAGATTAGAATTTAATTAAGATTTTTCCAAATGCGCAGAAATAAACGCACCGAAAATTATTTACTGTCGGCGTTTTGTCTTTGATGTGCGAAAAGGTCGCAAAATGGGGAAAAATTAATCGAATAAGTTCAAGATCTGGGCGCTTTATCAATAGGGCTATAATTAGTTTTCCTGTGGGGACCAGGTCAACTCGATTAATTAAATAAAATACTTTTTGTTGTTGCGCAAGCAGTACAAAATATACAGAGAAAATAAAGTCATAAACAGCAAGTTAAATAACGAGTGCCATATGAGAAGACAAATATTTTGCTATTATTTATTTTTATTCAACCATTTATTCTGCTGTTTGACATTTTAAGGTAGCTGCAAATGAGCTTGCACAGCTGCTCCGGTAAGTAATCCGGTGCTCAGTGCTCAGTCAGGCCAATTCCGCTCTATAAGAAAGGTGGAGCGCCAGCTAAGCCAACTCAAAAGTGATCTGAAAATGTTTCGATAAGTTATTTTTTGTTTCGTAGAGTTATATGAAGTTTATGCAAAAATAGTAAACAACTTTTTATGGCTTTCTGTTTAATGTTATGAAATAGAAGCCGGTTTTAGGCGCATGAATCATTGCATTTGCGATTTGGGTGGCAGTTTTCCAGACTCATTAAGAGCTTTTCTCTGAGTCTCTTCTGAATGCGTTTTAAATCATCCGTTGAACTTAGAAGAAATATGGTTGTATTTTCCAAGTGCTACTGTAGTTGAAGCATTTCGCACTTCGGTTTATTACTTTAATAATTTACGATATTTTCCATAATTGATCATAACTGTAAGGTAATACGTTGGTTCTCCTAGTTATTGTTGCTAAGTTTACGCTCAAAGTTACTAAAATGGCTATTAAAATTTAGTTCATTTTTTAAAGCCACGAAAAAATTGGCATTTAAAATATATTGGGAATCTTGCATTTAAAACAAAATTTATTAAGTAAATAAAATGTTATAGAGCCGATACCGCGGAGGATGAAGACTGTCCTTCCCTGGCAAATGCCACTTCCCTGCAACAGACGCAACTCATTCAGCGGTTAACACATGTCTGTCGCTATGACCGACTTGAAAGACCAATCGGTAGGCGGTTAAATAAAATACAATCAAAGAGCTTCAATTCTAGAATACATTCCTTCCCAGAATACGACAATGTGACGGCGCAACGTCTGCCAATTGTGGTGAAGACGCGAATTTACGTGTACTTCCTGCAGAATCTCAATTCCGATTTGCTGCAGTTCAAGATGCACGCCCTCCTGCAGTTACGTTTCCAGGACAAACGGTTGGCCTACAAGGCATTCGGTCGCTACGAAAACATCCTGGGCCAGAAACACCTGAGCGAACGCCTCTGGCTGCCACACATCTTCTTTGCCAACGAGCGGGAGTCCAGTATCCTGGGAACGGACGAGAAGGACGTCCTGACCTCCCTCTCCGCCGAGGGCAACGTGATCATCTCCACCCGCATGCAGGCTACGCTCTACTGCTTTATGAACTTCAAGAAGTTCCCCTTCGACCAGCAGTTCTGCTCGACGGTCCTTGAAAGCTGTAAGTGAATCTATTAACACCATTTTTCGTATTAAACATCTTTCTTGTTTAAGATGTAGCTTTAATTGAAAGCACTAGTTAGATTTTTTACATATTTATTTTTTGTAACATTTCTATATTACCCGATTACCATTCAGGGATGTACAACACCTCCGACTTGGTACTGGAATGGGAGCAAGACTCGCCCATCTCCTTTGATCCAGAAATGAAACTCACAGAATACAACTTGGCTCGTTATTGGCACAACACCACAGTGGTGGAGTCAGATGGAATTAATCTGCGACATGGAGCCTTCAGTAAGTGGATTAAATGCTGTTAGTTCAAAAACAATATTTAATATTAATATTTGATATCCTGTAGCGGGTAATTATAGTTCCCTGAGTTTCACGGTCAATCTGAAGCGCGAAATTGGCTTCTATCTGCTGGACTACTATGTGCCCTCCATGATGATCGTGGCCATTTCTTGGGTGTCCTTTTGGCTGCAGGCTGATGCCTCTCCTCCGCGAATTATGCTGGGTAGGTTCTAGGCTAGTTTTTATACTTACGTCATAAGCTATATTAATTTCGTACTCTGCATCAAAATGTTTAATACATTTTTTTATAAATTTAAATTCACTTTAAATTAGTAATTACTGAATTCAAAAAGTATTTCATCTCAAGAGAAAAAATATGTTATTAATATTTTTACATTTTTCGGCAAGGTAATGAAAAAGAATTCACAGATTTTGTCTAAATAAAAAGTTTCCAAATTTAACAAACATTGTGTTTTGTGGTGAAATTCTTTTTCTAAGTTTGTTTTTACAATTTTAATTTAAAATTCCATTCCATTACTTTTTAAGGACTGATCATAACATGGCATTTACCACAATGATCTTTACAAACTCACAAAATTAGCTAAGCATTTTAAAAACTATTTAAAAAATGATTCGAATTTTTACTTCTTAGGCACCAGCACCATGTTGTCGTTCATCACGTTGTCCTCGTCGCAGAGTAAAACCCTGCCCAAGGTGAGCTACATAAAGGTGTCGGAGGTGTGGTTTTTGGGCTGCACCTTCTTCATCTTCGGCAGCTTGGTGGAGTTTGCCTTCGTGAACACGATTTGGCGCCGCAAGGAGAACATTGAGCTGAAGAAGGTCAACAGCAAGTACATCATTAAGTCCACACTAACACCGCGACCCGCACGTCGTCAAATTGGCGGGAGCTTAAGCAACGAATCCAGGGCAAGATCCTGTTCCAGTTTGGACAATATTGTTTCCAGCACTGAGAGCGTTCGCAACGGAAACGGCAATGTGAATCAGGGCTTTAACAACTACTTGACCGTGCATGTAAGTATTCACAACTTACTCCCTTCCAGGATATATTTACTTAATTCTTTTCAATCCTTAGCCCAATTTACCCATCATCAAGACCGAGTGCGCCGACACCGTTTCCATTTGCAGTGAGCGAACGAGCAACGATCACATTGTGGATGTGGATCAGGATAAAAAGGACACGCCGACCACTTTTACGACCATGACCCCACAGGAGATCGCCATGTGGATCGACCGACGCTCCAGATTCCTTTTCCCAACAATGTTTTTGGCCTTCAACGCCTTGTACTGGACCTTTGTCTATATTTTGTGAGCGACAGTGGCCGCCTTTAATGTGAAATCTTGTCTATTTGTGTAGTCCTGATCACGCAAATAATTATTAAATTGTAAGATGCATCATCTCATAGCTGTAAAAATGTTAACCATTAATCAAGCAATAAAACCAGTCAAATAAATCGTTAGTGTTTACAAATTTGTAATTTTAATATAATGACATCTTAAGTTAAGTATTATATGTAAAGAAACCGTAAAGAAAAAACATTTTTCGAAAATGGCAGCCATAGGCATTTCACTTATGTTTGATATGTTGGTAATTTATTGGTGTATGTATAGATATAGGTTAAAGGCTTCCCCTCAGTTTGTTGACCATTTATTGCTCGGAAGAGCGAGTAGGCGGTCCTGAAAGTCCGTTGCACACGGTCGCAACTTGAATTTGTACTTCTGGCGAATCTCTGGTGTTAGGTAAAAAGCCATGTAGTAGTCATGGGCACACTCTTCATGGTCTTTGCCGGCATAATTTTTGTCCACCAGTTTTAGGTTTTCCACGATTTCATCTAAATTTCGCAAGCTCCTCTTAAACTGATCGAAACTCACGATAAAACTGTGCAAGAATGAAAGGAAAGATTAGAGGAAAACATTTGTGTGAAACGCTTGTTTGCTCACTTTATGTTATTCGACTTTTTTGCGTCAAGCTCTAAAACAGTTTTGGCTGCCATATTATCATAAGGTCTCCCAAACTCCAGCAACTTGGCCAAAGGAGTCGGCGGAAGTTCTTTGAAATAGTTAGTCTTGCCACGAAATCGTGGGAACATGTAGTAGCGGTAATAAAAGTTTTTTAAAGTACTACGACAATACTCGTCATTGCCCAACAGCATTAGACAATGCTCTCTGTTCTTGGTGAGCTTGTCGAACACCACTATTTTGTTCAGACTGCTTTCAAAAGTTCGAAATGATATCGGAAAAACAAAGGTGCCAAACCTGCACAAATCGAAATGTTGTTAACGCCATTAGTTGGAATTGAATGACACTTACTTGTTAATTTGAACTATCTGATCTTCCGGTCCTAGGTTTAGGCATCCTGGAAAGTTATTCGATTCGCTCTTAGCATTGACCGCATCCATAACTACTTGTTCTGATATTGGCTGGATGACCTCTTGCTGTTCGACCGCATATATGATGACTTCAAGATCAGGAATCTTGAGCAACTTTTCTCAAATGTGATGAGGACAAGGAGCCGATTGACCGTACTTGCAATAATCCGATAACGGACTCCTGCATTAATCGGCACATCACTAGCAAACTATTGCAAATACGGTCACTCTGGTAATAATCGCATCTTTAATTTTAATAGTTTGTTTGTTATTAGTTTTGATGTCTGTATTAAATGGAAAGACCTCACTCAGCGAGCGGTCGCTCAACAGTTCAGCATCCAGAGATCAGATTTATCCCGTGACGTTTAAGGTATTTAAGAGGCTAATAGCTAACCTGCCGAAAATCACAACCGCCCTACGATCCGCCGATGGAAACCACAAAACCGAAGACGAGTGGGGACGTTGGTACTATGAAGCTTTTTACAGGGATCCAAGTATTCGAGAAAAGTATCACTTCGAGGTGGCTCCTTGTCCTCATCGCATCCGAGAAAAGTTGCTCAAGGTTCCTGACCCTGAAGTGATCATAAATGCGGTCGAACAGCAAGAGATTATCCAGCCAATATCAGAACAAGTAGTTATGGATTCGGTCAATGCTAAAAGCGAAGCGTATGAGTTGCCAGGAAACCTAAAACTAGCATCTGAAGATCAGATAGTTAAAGTAAACAAGTGAGTGTCACTTAATTCAAACTAATGGCATTAACAACACTTCGATTTATGCAGGCTTGGAACCTTTGTTTTTCCGGTGTCCTTTCGAACTTTTGAAAGCCACCTGAACAAATTAGTGGTGTTCCGCAAAATCATCAAGAACAGAGATCATGGTCTAATGCTGTTGGCCAATTACGAGTATTGTCGTAGTACCTTAAGAAACTTTTATAACCGCTACTACATGTTCCCACGATTTCGTGGCAAGACTAACTATTTCAAAGAACTTCCAGCGACTCCTTTGGCCAAGTTGCTGGAATTTGGAAGACCTTATGATGATATAGCGGCCAAAACTGTGCGAAATCATGAGTTAATTTCCCAAAAATGCCAGTCCTTACAAGATTCAAAGTAAGTAGAAAAAGTACGCAAAAATCATTTTAAAAACAACACACTTTTTTTTATTAGAAATATTCCCCTCAAGATGTTTAAACATCCAGATCCAGACATGGTAATAGATTTAACAGAACCCCATAATGAGACAGCCAACCAAGTTTCGGAAGTATCAAAAAACGATAAAGACCTACTCAGAAATGATTTGCTGTAAGTAGCTGTAAAAGATATGCTTTAAAAAAATTATGAATAACTTTTGTCACAATATATATTCCGACTTGGAAGATGTAGGCCACCCGTTTCTTTAAAAATGTTTAAAAGTCATGTTAGCAATCTCAAGGAAATTGTTAACCAAATGCTGCAATGCGTTGAGTACAAAGAAAAATCTGAGGAGGCATGTATTCAGGAGTATTACCAAGGTTTCTATTTTCGACCTGGAATGCGGGAGAAGTTTGTTCCTCGGTTTAAAGCATGCCCCGCCAAGTTGCGGGAAAAATTGCTTAGCTTTCCACCAAAAATTGAGGAGCAATGTCCAAAGGAAGCTGATTGCCAAGAGAATCGCCACTCGGGGAATGAATTTGCGAAAACTAATAAAGAAGGTCCACCCCAGGAAAGGTAAATAAAGACGCTTTCTTTTTTTCCTAATAAAATTTTGCTTATTTCAGTGCACAAATCCAAGAGGTTGTTTCCAGTAACACAACGAATACCTTAAGATCTGGAAAGTACTACGACGATACCTTAATTTGTATATCAAATAATCATTATCAGTTTCCCGTATCGTTCCGGACTTTTAAGCTTTATGTTAACAGCGAGGAGTTGATAGATCAACTTGTCAACGACTCATTTGGAAAGAGATATAATGCAGAGCAACTAGCCGAGATTCGTAAAGATAACGTCAGATGTGTTCGCCTACTTCACAGGTTTTTCCACTCTTTTTACGTTAAAAAGGATATCAGAAATCGTTTCAAAATTAACTTTAATGCTGCGCCTTCTGAGATGTCCCAAAAATTACAAGAATGGGCGGTGCTTATTTCTCATTCGGAAGATCAAAAACAGGCACAGTGCATTCAAATATCTAAACCTGAATCAAAAGGGCAAACACCAGATGAACCCAAGAAAGGAAATCAATTGCCGAACGAGTCTTATGAAGCACGGAAATTGGAATTAGCTTCGTAAGTAATTAATGTTATTTAATCTATTTTTATAAAGCTGATTGATATTCCTTATTTTAATAGAAAGACAAAGATTGATGTAGTGCAATACATTCCCGATTGCTTAAATGTATATTTATGTTCTGATTGCAAAAGCCCACAAGAGAGCGTAATTCGTGAAAAAGAATTTATGGAATTCCTCTTAACTCAAGATCATCGGGTACAACAAGTTGAAACCCCAGCAACTTCACGTTCAAATGATGTTGAAATAGACAGCATAGTTCGTTTCAAGACACCAACAACCGAAGAGCTTGAAAATCCTTTGGAACAGCATGAGTTGCAAGAAAGTTCTAAGAGAGACGAAGTTACAAAATCCGTCTTAAAAAGTCTGCCTCAAACGTCCAGTATTTCAGAATGTTCCCCGAACTGTTCAGGAAGCTCGTCAGAATGGAATACAGAAACAGCGAAATCAACATCTTTACAACATGACGGTCTAAAATTAGAGAAGCAAATACTCCTAGAGAAAGCAAAGGTAAGAAATCACTTTTTTAAAGATCAATAAATACTTATAAGAAAACTAAATTGGATCTCATCATAAAAATAATTTGAAGGAGCAAACAATTCTATTGGATGTCAGTCAAAATCAAGAAATAATCCCTATCTCCTCGAGTGGAGACGCCGTTCATCGTAAGTTAACCCAAATCTTTGACAATACCTAAAATAATAATTTAAAAACATTTAGTGGAATATAGTGGCACAAATACCCATCCTATTGAGTCCACTCTAGTCAACGTGACAACTGGTAGCCAAGCTTCCCAATCGACAGTAATTGCAGGTGATCCACCAATCGCAGATGTGTGCCAATCACTAAAAGAGCCAATGTCCTTAAACATGATGACAATTAAGCAGGAACCCATTAAATTCCTCAACAACGAACGTTGCGTTTGCTACACTGATGATTGTCAATGGGAAAAAATTGACTCGGAGGAGCAAATAATAGACTTGACTCGCAGCCAAAAAGAGGAAGCGAGTTTGCTCTGCTTTTGCATTTCGAAATTAAAAGAACAAATGCCTGATAAGGCGGGTAATTTGCTGCTTGAAGATACCTTGTTAAAAAACAATGAAAACGCGGATGAGGACGTGGCTGAAGCCACTCAGGAAATGGATACCGATGATATTCCATGTACGTCAAAAACGAAACGAAAAGGGGAATCAACCGGCGAGGCAGCGCCGATTAAACGAATAAGACTGGTAAACGAACAGGTGCCACAGGTGAGGCATGAACTACCGCTGAAATCGATGGTGCGGATAGAGCCTAAGGGGGCTGAACATGTTGATCCATCCGACAATAGTTCACCTCAGCCATTAGCACCCAACATCACTCCCTCGCAGGATTTTGCTACCGGAAACACACTCTTGGAATCCACCCAGCTACACATTCTCCTAGATTCCACCAATATCAACACTCCCAAGGTAATTGAAAAAGAAGTTAACAGTGCTTCTGTTGGGGCTTGTGATCAAGCCCCCTCTTCGCTACACAGCACTGTTATATTTCTTGAGCTGGAGCGATTCAGCTTTTTTAAATCGCTTACCGTTCCACAAATAATCAAGAACCGCATTGAAGGTCACCTAGAGGGTGCTTGCTATCAGGAGGCGTTGGCCAAGATTGACGGAAGGCGAAGTTTTCTGCGAGGTCCTCTGCTGCAAAGTCTTTTTCCCCACTTGTCACCCACGTTGCGATCTGATTTGGAGCACTTGCTGTGCAACATGGAGGAGTTCTCCTACAAACGCATCTGGAAAGCTCATAAAGATTCCATCCTCGATCTCCGCACACGAGTTTTATTTGTTTTTATGGATGTGGCTCCGAAGTTCGGACCATTTCACGTAATGTTTGATAATAAAACGAAAGAGTGGGCTACCTGTAGTGAAATAGGTAGATGGGAAGTTGAGGAGGCAGTGAATCAGCGGAACCACTGCAATGTAACCGACTTTATCAACCCTTGCATTTTAAAGCGAATTAAGGAATTAAAGGAGATAATGGGTTGATCTCAAATCGGGTATTTAAAATCAATAAATATCAAGTAGGTTACTCTAAAACGGTTGGTCCTTTTTATCTTTTCAGTGACGAGCTTAGATCTGGATACATTAAAGATACTGTGTTATTGAAAATTTAATCACCGAAATATGAAATATGTTTATTTTCAATTTGTAATTTTCTAGGAAAGTGGATTAAAAAATATTTAACATAAAAATGACATAAAAAATGTCTCTCAGTTTTAAAAGTATCTTGCTGAAACTTTAGCATACTGCGTGCTAAATAAGTCAGTCAGCCAAAAACGGACGACTATGTAACATAGATTCCATAAGTAATAGTCGAAAATATGAAAAATAAATAGAGAAATCGATGTTGTTTAGCCGTTATTGTATTTTATTCGACATATTTTATATCTACAAGCTAAGCTTGCCAAAACCAGCACCCTTTCATGTATGTAAAATTTAAATATTACTTTTCAGTGGTTGATGTTGGATTGCTTGTGAGAGAATTAACGAACACACATCTTTATTCAGCGAATGTTGGGATCGACTGTGCCTGTTGTTAAAAACAAAATATCCGAATCTAGCAATAGGTGTACGACTTATCAGCCTTACTTTATAGAAGTTTCTCTAGGAAATTTCAGTTTTTGTGGAAGTCTCGTCATCAACGGTTCGTAAAATACAAATTTGTTCAATGATAAGCTAAAAATAGGACAAATAGTGAAAAACTATTGTATTTACAAATCGAACCTGCTAATACTCGTGTTTCTCTATATTTCCAAAGCAAGATTTTACGAAGTCCTGACTCATTTACTCCTTTAATTACAATTTTTGAGAAGCAATCCGTATTGCCTTATTAAAAACAACATTTTCGAATCAAGGGGTGATACATCAGCCCTACTTTATAGAAGTTTGTTTCCAAAACTTCAGTTTTTGTGAAAGTCTCACCGTGTACAGTTCGTAAAATACAATCGCATTAATAGTTTATAACAAAAAAAATGTGCTATATTATCACTTTCCGTGGACCGGACTAGTACATCTTGTATTATAATTGTTTACTAAAGCGGAAATCAAAAAAATATATGAGCGTTTTTTGTTTTAAACAATTAATTATGCATTTGTATTCTACGAACTATAGTCGACGAGACTTTCACAAAAACTGAGATTTTGCAAAGAAACTTCTATAGCGTAAGGCTGATTGAAAAATTTTGTTTTTAATAAGGCAAATAGGGATTGTCTCTCAAAAAATGTGCTTAAAGGAGTAAATGAGTCAGGATTTCGTAAAAACTTGCTCTGGAAATATAGAGAAACACGAATATTGGACGGGTCAATTTGTAAATACATACAAAAATTTTTCACTATTTGTCCTATTTTTAGCTATTCACTGAACTAATTTGTATTTTACGAAATTCAAGTTTTAACGGTGAGTTACTAAAAATATTATAAGGTGGAATCTTTATTTATTGTTGCTCGTTCTTCGACTGGGGTGCAGTTCAAATTAACTAAGCGTTTTTTAACACAGTGCTGAGAAGTATAGGTCCACGCTTAAAAATAACGGTTTTAGACGTCTTTGGGTTTTTTTCAAAAAATTTATTATATATGAGATTGGGGTTTGAACCAATTCCTTACAGGAATTTGATTTTAGAACCTTTTCGAACCGAAATTGTATCGTAAGTTTGACTTGGGGTTACAGCCATCCGAGGCTCCAATCAATAATTTAATAGGTAGAAGAACAGGATTGGTTAGAGATGCACTTCTAGAGGGGAATACTGGATTTTTTAGTGGGAATTCTTGGTAAGTGCACCCTTTTGGGGGAGACAAGTTTACAGTCTGGCAACACTAAGACGAGCAGTCGGGAGGAATTTGCAGCGTAAAAGTCGAATTTCAAGGTAAAATTTGGCATCATAATCGGTGCAATGCCAGGTGCTGGCTCTAAAAATATGCACAATTATGGGCTGCCAAAAGTGCAGCGATCGTGCAAATCAACGGACGTACTCGGCCGCCTTTTTCCGCGGAGCAGTGCGAAAATTACATAACCTCCGGGGACCGCAGTGCCATAATAATGTTTATAATAACGATCTGTGTTTTCATCCAAATCCTGGTCCACTTCCTCTGCGGTTGCTAATTGGTGCTCTCTTTCCCCGTAGCCCCTGAAAGATGCGTCTATCCTCGATCCTGAATGGCCAGCACTTTGGCAACTTGGCCAAGGTGCATGGAATCGTCACCTACAAACTGTCGCCCTTCGAGCAGCGCGCTTTTGCCGGAGCGATCAGCAATGGTCTGCCCAACATGGTGCGTCGCTTCCGCTCCAACGTCTTCATCGTGGCTCCCCGTGAGTATATCCTAGTATTTCCTATCAAGTACCATCTAACAATTCTGTTTATTGCAGCCTTCATCCTGGGATACCTGATCTACGACCTTACCGAGCGCAAGCACACCGCCCTGCTGCGCAAGAACCCCGCTGACTATGAGAACGACGAATAATCGCCCCAACTAGCAAATAGTTATGTTAAACTAATTAATAAAACTAAACCCACAGTTCAAAAGAGTTGTGTGTTTCGGTTGCTGGAAGGCTAAACGACAACAGATTTGTCTACATGAGGGTCTCAAATGGTAAAAAAAAAACACTTGCTATAGAACTTTTGAAGGGTTTAGGTTTATATTTTGTGGAGTTATTTGTTTTCTTCAACAATCAGCTGTTTTAACATACGTTGGTTTGACTCCAGGATAAAGATATTAACAAGGTATCCGGACCAATCAATGCTAAACGACTCCTAAGTAATCTAGTAATGCCTAATTTATATATGTTAATGCGTTACTTAATTTTTAATTTATAAAACAATGATGCAAAGCACGGAAGTCAATGCTATCATTTTTTGTTGCCACTAAATATATTTACACAATATAAATTAAAATACTTTTGACGGTTCACTTTTTGCGTTACCACCCTTTTGTTTAGCCGAGACACTCTTTCGCCCAGAGTTTCCAGCTGTCCGAAAAAGATAATCCATCGATAATAAAGACAGCAATCGATAATTGAAAGACACAGGTGTTCCCATCTCCAGCACCCCGACCAGCTGTTCTTAAACAAAACAATTTGGCGTTATTATAGTTTTTAATCAATATTAGTCACTTAATGGACTGCTGCGGCAACGAAATACGCAGCGAGAGTATCTACAACATGCTGCAAGCTTTGGTCGACTCGAAGGTGGTTAATGTGCAGCTTTTATCGATTGCCGTGGGCATTTTCTTCGTGGTCCTGCTACTAAAAAACAATTTTCGCTCCTTTTCGGGCACGTAGATCGTTGGCATTTAGTGTTTAATTTATGTAATAATGTAATGTACGCTAAGGACTAATAATAACTACTTGAAGCCACTTTGACCTTTGTTTCAGTTGTATGGTTTTTGGATCTCCCTCGCGTCAGTGACGTCACGCACCATATATGTGTAATATTTTGGGTACTTAGAGCTTGAACGTTTTAGAATCTCAGGGTCATCGGTTTATTTCGGAGGTGTTTGCACAAATACACGCCCAACGCATTATAATTGATTTCGAAGGCCAGCTGAACTGGTTTGACAGCCCCCGAAATTTCTATGGAACATGCTAAAAATCCAGCCCAGAATCGGATAATTTCATCATAAGACTGTGATTCACGGCACTCCGTCTTCCGATAAGATAGCTTATTAAAATACTCACAGTAAGTGCTACTTCGAACCGGCTTTACCATCACAGAACTGCTGAACTTTTGGCCCAATTGGCTGAGCAGAAGCCATATCACCCAATCAGTCACAATTGCTGTCCACAAACGATTTCAATTGACCGGCGATTGATTGCCCAATGTCTGCACGCACTTCCTGGTGCACCATTAGAATTCAATAGAGGATCGACTTCAGCTGGCTTCAATCCGAAGTCCCATATATTGAATCACTGCCCGGCGACTGCAGTATTTATGCGATGCGGTGCTACGTGCTTTTATGCTAAAATATTGCATTAGAACACCCAACAAACGTGACTTGCTTACAGGCCTCGGAATTGCAGCACCACTTTAAGCCAAGATTGCAAACCCTAGTAGTCAAAGTGCAACTTGCCCATTTACTAATTTTAATCAAGGGTCTAATGAGAAATGAACAACAACAAACTAGCAATTAGTAAGCAATAAAAAAAGCTTTTAGATATTATTAAAAAATCTTTAAAAGCAATCATTCAAATTCGATTAAATTTTCATCCGAAACTAGGTTTTCTGTTCTTCGAAAAGATTAATTTTCCGTAAGCCTTATTTTAAACTAACAATGTTCCAGTTTATTTTGATAACTTATGTAACAAATGTACTATATAATCGAGTTGAAACTTTGCTTACTATTTATATACTTTATGGGGCCTGGTAAATCTAACTAGCGAAACTAGATAACACTAACATATTCGACAATATATTCATTACGTCATCCCGTCTTGGCAACTTCCTGATTCTTAAAGCCATAACCAAACTTGCTTAACCCACAAAATACATCAAAATAAACTAAACCATTGAGCCAGATCATTAACCCGGTTGTTTTATACTGCTGAATGGATAATCCGAAAGCTTGTCAATGAACTTGTAAAACTGGGAGTTCTTGGAACTCCGCCGCCCACCAAAGTCGAAGTGCTGACTGAAGTTCCGTTTTGGTATTGACTTTTTTATATATTTGTCTTTTTATATGAAAAGTTTCTAAAAGGTTACAAATCACAATTCTAAAATTATAAGTGAACGGGTTCGCTGAGAAGAGCTATAAATAAAATTTTGAATAAGATGTTAGCTGATGCCTGAGGGCAGGACGTAAGATCCCTCTTGTGGTTATCCGTCGAAGCCTTGGTGGTCCTGCTTCTTAGTTTTATTTTCCGCGCCTCGGAGAGGCTGAGCAGGACCTAATGGCGGGTTTCCATATATCCTTGGAGGACTTGAGGTTATCCTACGGTAAATTGCTGGCTTACGAGAAGCGATCTTCTCATCTTCGTGGGGATGGCTTCTAGAAGACCTGTGCTTATCCTTGTGAACTGATGGTTTTTGAGGAGCGATCTTCTCATCTTCGTGGATATGGCTCCTACCCCCTAGAAGTTAGCTGTCGAAACTTAGGTCGTCCTGGTTACTTAGTTTATGTTTTAGCGCCTCGGAGAGATAAGCAAATCTGAGCGGTGGGCTCTTCGAGGACTTGCGCTTATTTTTAGAGGACCTGCGCTTATCCCTAGAGGACCGGTGCTTATCCTTGCGAACTGATGGCTTACGGGGAGTGATCTTCTCATCTTCGTGGTGAGGGCTCCTACCGTGTTGGTCGTTTCCGCCACCCTTGCAACGGTCCTTTTCATCCAGTTGCCTCTGAAGATCTGTCAGGACACCCACCATTTCCTCCTGCTGGGCCTCGTACTTCGAGATGATCGAGTTCCGGCGTTCTAGCTTTTCGTTGAGGAGCTCCAACTGCTGCTGCAGGTTGTCCACTTCACCGGCCTGCTCGGCGATGGATTTCATCTGGTGGCGCACCCGCTGCAGTTCCTTTTCGACCAGGTCGGCGCTCTTCCGAACGTCGCTCATACGCTCCTTATACTTGGTGCGCGTGTGGCTGATCTGCTCCTCGAGGAAGGCGATGTACTTCTCCTGCTTGGTCACGTGGTCGTCCAGCTTCCCCAGTTGCTGACTCATCATGGAGCACTGCTCGGCTCCACCGCGCTCCCGCTCATGGTGATCGTTACGAACCGAGGCCAGTTCTTTTTTCAGCAACTCGATCTCGTGCTCCAGATGCGCCTGCAGCGCCGCCTGATCCTTGCGAGTTCTGCGGCGCTCTTCCTGTTTGGAGCGCAGTTCGGCCACCTCGCGGCGCAGGAGGGTCACCTCATGCTCCAGGCGCGCCTTGGCCCGATCGTGGAAAGGCATCAATGTAAAAGGTTCGGTGGAATGATAATACTACACAGCCGGACAGTAAACGGCTGTAACGGAATCAAATTTTGGCTGTCTAAACAAAAAAAAAAAATTGAACAACTGCTGTTAATAAATGAACTGAGGGATTATGCATATGGACGGGTTTCGATTGGGTACTTAGATCGGTGTTTGGAAAGGCAATAAATAAAGAACATTGTTTTCAAGTTATTATACATATACATATCGCACTCCACTGTTAAATCTGTTCTATGTTTAAAGGACCTCTTCTTAATCGAAATAGTACCCTCTGAAAGGGAATAAAAATCGGTGATTCGAGGTCAATATATAGAAGTTCTGTCAGCTGTGATTGCCTCTATTGCCACTATTGCCAATAAACCAAAAAGAGAAACAGATTCATTACAAGTTTCTGAGTTTTGAAGGAACCATTTGATAACCCATAAAGTCGATTTGGAACTTTTTCTTAATCTAAACGATGAATGGTTTAACCCAGTAATACAAATAGTTATTTTACTTCATTGACATAATTATTACGACGCTTATCCGGAAATACAAAGCGAAACAGAACAAAAGAACTAATGAAAATTTAATGTACACACAGGAATATAGTTCACAACATATTCCTGTAGGTACTTATAGTTTCATTAGTTCTTCTGTCCCCTTGAGAGTTAAGGAACTTGATCAGCAGCTCGTTGGAAACGGATGGCGGCTTGGTTTGGATGCAGCCCTTCTGCAGCTTCTGGACCGCCCCGAACATGTCATTGTAGTGATGACCTATCTGCCTAGCCCGATCATGATCGGCACCACTGAGTAGCTTTTGCAGATGGGTCTCTAGCATTATGGCATTGTTCTTGATGGTGGACACCTGGCGCTCATAGTGGGCTTTTATCCGATGCAGTTCCCGCTGCTGCTTCTCGATTCGACGAGCCTGCATCAGGATTATGTCGGCGAGGGTCTGGCGATCGGTGTGATGCTTCTCCACCTGGAAATCCTGCTGCTGCATCAGTGCACCAAATTCGTCCTCGGAAATGGCACTTTCCTGGAACTTGGAGATGGGGGAGTTTATATTTTGGTTATGGATTTGGGATGGATGCAGTGGTTGTCCAGATGGCTTTGAAAGCTTCTTTTGGAACTTCTGATGCGAATTAACTATTTCTCGTGATTGCTTCCATGCGTTGTGCATCCTCGACAATCCTTCGTTGGCCATCCTTACGCCCTTACTCATCTTAATTGATAATTTAGTAACTTATAGACGCGGTTTAATGATTTAATTTTGTTTAAGCTACTTGAAATTTTGTCGCTCGTGATTAAAAAGTTTTGGCCAACTTAGTTAACAGAACTTTTTACAAAGTTATGTAAATATAATTAATACATGAAAAGCCTCCAGTAGGTATTAAAAACATTTTCGAGCATCACAATTTTAACTCCGGTTAAAATTCACTCGAAAGTGAAATTTCAACCAGTTTTGCCGGACCTTAAACTGTTTCGAACTAATTTCAGTTATTTAAATATACTAAAAATGCTCCAGTTTTATTAACAACCGAGACAAACAAAATTACTGCAATTTGACAAACTCAGGTTCAAGGTGGGCTAATTATCTGGCGAGTTATGCCGTGCTTAAAAATGCCACGCCCACTGCATCTTTGGAGGCTGAAGGCGAACTATAACCACACATGTGTATCTATAAACATAAACATTTGCACTTCTGCTACCCTAAAAATTTAAATATAATTTCGAGCATCCTTCCACATTCGTTTTAATTATTTCTCGATCGTTAATTCGTTAATTATTTCTCTATCTTACAATCACTTTTAAAAGCATTGTATTTATTTGTTTATATTTTCTTTTGTATTTATTTTCTTTACTCTTGTCTGGATATCGAGAGTATCTCTTAATCGGCTACCCTTACAAAGTAAATCCAGTGTTTATTTTTCCGTTTTTGTTTGTAAAGCATAATTTGTATTTTTGGCCCGCGATGCCGCACACTTGATAAGGGTTATCGATATGCCCACGGATATATGTATATACTATATGTATGCGCATGCGTACGGCATTATCTGCAGTTGATCACTACTTGCCTTCTTGCCCACTGCCTGTGCATCGCTTTCGCAAGTTGTAATTCATTTGGCAGCACTTTGTGATATGTGATTTTTGGCTTATGCCATGCATGTGGAATCCCATTAAGATTGGGCCCAGGAAGCGGACTTTGTGTGCATTTTTCGGGGTGTGGAAGATGGATGTTGCCTGCGAAAAATAATATTTATATCCTGAACACCCATAAATTTGCAAATACCCCCGTATCCCATAACTCAAGCTGCTTCCTTGATTCATTGTGCTGAAGGTCCTTCAACACAATGCCAAGGTCTGGTCTTTTATGTCACCATCACTTGCCTCTTGGACTTCTATGCCTCTTTTTGTGCGAGTACATTTCTTAATATGACAAAGTTGTTCCCACTTATGCAATTTCCATAAACTCAAGGTCAGCCGTACAATAAAAGTCCAGACAGCAGATACTATATACACCCAACACATAAAGACAGACGTCTGGCCACTTTTTCGGCACCCGTAAGGTTGAGAGCTGGAGGGGGAAAGAGATAGAGTGAGCGGGAGAGGGAGACAAATGATGCTCAAGAGCCAAGCTAATTTTCGCCAGAGATGCGCGAAAAGCTCTAGGCCAATTTGCATAGTACGCATAGTGTTTTGCAGTAGAATATAAAAAAAATTGTTGAAAAAAAATTATTAACTTTTTTTAATAAACAAGAATTAAGAGAACAGCCATTGATAAAAAGAACCTTAATTCCTATAAACAAAAACAAGGTAAGCATTAAAATTAATTAATTATAAGAACACTAATCTTTAAATTATCCATAATTAAGATAAAGACGGTTAATATTAACTATTTATGTATTTTGTATATACATAATAAAAGCTTTTTATTACCAGCGCCATACAAACGTATTATTTATAAATAAATACAGCTTAGAGGCAAAACCCTCTTTTTTCCCCGTCGCCTTTGCACATGCCGAAAAATGATATCAAAATGCGAAATCAAAACAAAGAGCCAGAATTTCGGCAGACTAACCCAAACAACATAAAAAAAGGTCAGAACTTGACTAACATCTAACCAAACAAAACACAAAAACACAAAGGGACCAAAGTAAACCAGACAGGGAGCAGACGGGCGAACCCCAATTCAAAACAGAAGCCCAAGGGCTTTTTTCCGTCTCTTTCCCTCAAAATCCCCTCAAAAGAGTAGACTTCAGCTAGACGAAATTTGAGATACTTAAAGGACGAAGAGAAGGCAGCCAAAAGGTAGAGATGCTGGCAAGTGCCCGAAAAAAGAAGAACGCCAGACAGAATTCGCTGGATTCGTTTGAATTGTTCTATCAATTTCGGTTTAATTGCATTTAATTTGAATTGCAGACACAAAAATCTGGTTTTCTTTATTTCTTTTTCGGTTTTGCAGCTTGATTTAATTTACTCGCTAGACGGCAAAAAAAAGTGGGAAGATATTGCGCAATTCAGAACAAAAATCGAATGCAGCTGAAAAGTCAAATAAAAGTGAATTGATTTATGGGACTTTTGTTTGTTTGTGCAGCTATTAATGATTAAGATCTCTCTCACATAAATCAAAAATAATTGTAGCAAACGACTTTCATCTACATAATTAAAAGTATTGTTTATTTTAGCTGTTTATATAAAACTAAAATAGTTTCGTGTCTAAAGAGAATGTTATTTCTAAAAGTTACATCTAGAACTCTATTTCAAACATGGAGTTCTGCAAATTTTTGGCACAGATTTTGCGGACGTCATTGCCACCACCCCTCGATTAAGCACTTGCGCATAAATCTGCAGAGGAATCAGCATAAAGCTATAGCTTTAGCCAAGAATCAAAACATATGAAATATGCAACAGGCCAGACTGATCGGTCAGAAATTTGTTTTGCAAATTCCGAGGGTTTTTGGCGACAAATTTCAATTAACAATCGAGCACAGACATCCGTTCTGAGTGCGAATCGCAGATATATCGCCTATAAGGCAAAGTATCGCCAGATAAGATCGAGGAGATCGGGAAAAAGAGCCTCAAGAACCATAACTCACCAAAAGCAAACTCCGATTTCCGACAAGGGAACCCCAGCTCCTTTTCGCTTTACAAACCCTGACTCTGACTCGGAGTTATTAAAAACTGCACACGAGAAATGAGCAGGGGAAACAAACACAAAGTTTGTTATGTTGCGCAGGCGCAGCCCAGAAACGCCCTCGAAACAGGGACTCCGATTCGGACTCGGAACGTGGACTTGGGGGTACATTTGGGGGCATGATGGGGCATCCGAACAGTGTTATTGACCCGTCCCAACGATCCGTTAGCCATCCTCCGCCCGAGTGCTCCGCCCTGCCGCACAAATTCTTATTAAGATCAATCAGCTAAATGTCGGTTTTATGCTTAATGCTCATGATTCACACGGGCAGAAAAGTCCAGGAATCGAAAATTCATACGGCACACACTCCAAAGGGATACAAATTTTATCTCAAGATAACACACAGCTAAATACACTAATCCTTAGTAGAAATTAATTTTAAAAAACTTATTGCAAATCCTTTTCAAGTGCCAACAGTTTTTATATAAATAAATACGTTCAGTATCAAGACATAATTAAAGAAATTACTTAAGACTGCATCCCTTTATCACAATTTAAGAGGTTTTAATCCCCCTCGGATTTTATTTTCACCTTAACATTTACTTTTGTAAAATGAATGATTTATTTGTTTTTATTACAGAACCTTGATAACAATACAAAAAGCTGAAATCCTGAGCTGTGGCTCCCTCTTAATAAACTAATCTAAATGTGTAAGTTAAGATACCCCTCCAAATTGCTTGCAAATTTCTGAAGCATGTCCCAACATCGTATATGAGAATATAAATAAAAATGTGCATTTCTGGCAGCCTTTACAAAGTTGTCGGCACGTTTTAATGCTGAGAATTTGAGCAGCATTTTGCCTTCTTTTCTTATTTTTTTGGTTACTTAATTAGTCATGGCAGGCTGAGTTGGTGGAGTGGGAAACCCGGAGAGGGAGGCGCAAAAACACTCATAAGGAATGCAAACTGTATTCAATCATTACGCACTGCCTGAATCCGTTCGGATCTTATACAATAGCTATTCCTCCCCTCGAAGTGCCTTATCACAATTGACACACATTGGAGTTCTGTTCGGTTCTGGCTCTTGCAATCCATCAGCGTGCTTCCTGCCCCAAGGCAAGATTAGAAACATTTATTCATTCCCTCCAAAATGTACTAACTCATGTAAAAATAAAAGATCTGGTGCATTAAATATTCCTAGTTAATCGAGGGTCAATAAAACATTACTTAGTATTTAAAATAAAAAAGTATTGATTGTTATGAAGAGTCAAAAAAGAATGAAGGATTTTTTTTTATTTTTATTATATTTTTTATAACGCACTCAATAACAGATTTATTTATTCTTTCCTTAAGTGATCCATTCAATTTCACTTATTGTTTTTCTTTCGGTACAATTTAATTTGTATTGTTTTGTTTGTTTCAGTACAGTTTTGGTCATTTGCAAGTTTGTTTTAGAGACGCAGGACTGTATATACTCCACACCGTATGCACCACACATAATATAATATATTATAAGTGTGTGCTTGTGTGTGTTTATTCGATCTGACAACGCGTTGGCGATAAGCCCAGTCAATACAACAAACAATAACGAACATTTTTGGAATTTCGTCTCCGAGTTTGTCATTATTTACTCGCCATTTGTTTACAGGCTGAAACATCAACACACACAACATGCATCAGCTGCTCGGCCCACTTCCTCTGCCCCGCCCCTCGAAGATCCCCCATCTAGAGTGGAGCCCCCACCCACCAACGCCCATGGGTTCATCTTTGGGTTATCAGCAGCGGCGGAGTGCAACTAGAATTGGTTACAAAAGCGGCTACGAAAAAGGGAAAACAACATTCAGCCGGCGAGAAAAGCAACCGCAAAAGTTCAATGCACATTTCGAGGTGAATTTGTTTTTTAGCTCTCGCCAGTCTGATGTCTGCAATTAATTACACAAATCGAGCGATCGTGTTTGACTTGTTTTCAAATCTAACATGTCACGTAATTAACCGTCTAGTTGCGAATCGAGGCGATATCGATTTTCAGCTCGCCCAAAGAATATCCAATAGATACGGGCTTGCCAGAGTCTGTTGCACTCAATTTGCTTGCTCGTTGCATATAGACTTTGTATCTGACAGTTCGCCTATCTGCCAGACGACCTTGCGCCCAATTCGCAAATGATACGTTCTGTGCACATATTAATTTTAATAGACGACCAGAAAGAAACCTAAGATGTTTCGCAAGCCAAATTCCATTAGCTGTTGAAATGCAGAGCATTCAATAATTGTTTAGTTGTTTTTAATAATAACGATTACATTGTAGCTCAGCTGTACTGCAGGTCTACAGATAAGAGATTAGCCCTTTAATCGAAAAAATCACTTGGTAAAAACAACACGAGTGCGACAATATATTTAGAAAAATTCCAATAAAGTTCTATATAATTGCTATAAATTTTCCTTTTCAACAAAGTTTTGTCTTTAAGTTTAAGCTCCTTTAGGCGCCTAAGGAACGCAAAAGAAAGCTTGTGAGGAGCTAAAGCTGTCTGAAATGACAAGAAAAATCAATCAGTCGAATCCCAGACTTTCAATATCACACACCCATATTTACTTTTCCTTTATAGCACCACCTTCAACTGCATTCCATCTAAGGATTTCGCAGAAGGAAAGAAGGGGCTTTCGTTCTTAAAATAGCCTATTAAATATTGTTTAGAGCAAATATAATTTTGTGTTACATTTTATGGTTTGAAATATAAAGTTTGGTTTGGTGTAAAGTTTATTTATTATTGTTGAAAAATTGAGTGCCAGTAGATTTCAAAAATGTCGCTTGGATTCTCTTTAGGCTGCTTCCCTTTGATTAAAAAGCCAACGCCACTGTTAACAGCGAGAGCATTTATGCTAACAGAGCCCTAACAGCCACTGCCTTCAACAGAGCCCCAACAGCCCCAAACAGCTGCGCTGTCGGCGTCGACTGCGACAAAAACAGTGCACGATGGGTGATTCGGATAGCGAGGAATTTTATTTTAATTATGCCGGAAGTTTTGGCCCTTTAAGCCAGCATACGATTGGGTTCTGTATTGCTAAGAAAATATCTATAAGCATACACTTTCGAAAACCTTTTTTTATATATGTATTTCAGTTGCTTTATACATTTAAATGAACAAAACAGGACTTATATTATTCTTCTTAGTTGAGTGTCTCTGTAAAATAAACTATTCTAAACAATTAATTTTTAAACAATTTTTTCTTCAATATTAAACTTTTATCGTAGCTGGACAAAAAAAAAACAAAGCACCATTTTTTAGCAAAAATATATCTTTCTGTACCACTGTGCAGCGGCAGAGGCGGCGGCTCTCGTCGAAAAAGTTTCGGCTGTTTTCAGACCGCCTCGCCGTTTTGCGTATTCGTATTCGAATTGTGGCCGTGTGCGGTGCGGACTGTGAGTGCGTCTGTGAGTGGGGGGCGAGAGAGATAATATGTACATTTGGTGTTTTTATTTATATGGGACTCCGCGTATATGCCAGCTTAAATAAATACACATGTGTGTACGTATATTTTTTATAGCCTGCGAACAAAAACAACAACAATGTGGGTCGTGCATATTGAGCGTATGTAAATAACAACAGATAAATGCCAAAAATCTACTACACTTTTATAACCAAAACACACAGAGCGCGTGAGAGAAAGGCAGCGAAAGAGCGGCGATAACAGTGCGAAGAGACCACCCCCGCCGCGAAGAGAGCGTAAGGGAGCGGCGGTTAGAAGTATCTTCAAGATACACCAACACTAAGAGAGCTGTATCTGTATTTGTATCTTCTTGTCTGCCGTTTTCGTCGTATAAATTGAGCCGCACTTTGCCTATTCTCGTGTTTTTGCCGCTCAGACGTCGCTGTAAGTGCACACGCGTCGCTCGAATTTTTCGGTTACGTTCCGAATCGGTTTCGTTTTCGGTTTCCAGTACCTCCAATTACCGCACACGCTTGAATGGAAAACTGTCTGAAAGATACTTGTGCCCAAGAACGCAGCTTAAACCCTTGAATCGGAAAATATCTCCAGTTAAAGGAGGAAACTCAACGTTTTGCCAACAAATTTAAGTTCTAAAACTGAAAAAATATTTAAAAAATATCTATATAGATATCCTGCTCTTGTTTAATACTCAAAATAATATAAATTGTTTGAAATTGCACAATTTTAAAATATAACTCTGTTAACGCAGTTTTAAAACCATTAAAAAACTGTTTAATAACCAAGAAAATCCTAATATAATTCCATAAAATCGCTGATTACAAGTTGAAGTGCCAAATATATTTTCAGTGAGTGCTTGAAAAATTGTTTCATTGAAACCCAGCCGCAAATACAATTTTCAATTGGTTGTGTGCGTGTTTTCAAGGCACAAACATACAAATATAGCATTTAATTTTGTCCATTATGTGTGCAATTAAATAAAAAAAATTCTGTGTGTGAAAAAGCAAAAAAACAGAGCGGCGAACGGAGGCAGTAACAAATTAGACGCGTAAATTGCGTAGCAAATTCTGAATGAAAAAATAACATCAAAACCAGAAAGCGAAACAGGAGCGATAAGCGTAAGTACAGCTTTAATAAATTTAAACTTTACAAGACCAATAAATTTGCGGTGAGATTATAGGACTCAGAATTTGCAAACATATAAAATATAAAAAGAATGTATAAGATTAATGTTTATGTTTAATATGTTAAAACGGTTACCCGAATTTAATATAGAACACATGGAATAACCTGATTTGGTTTCTTTTTACTTAATTGGGCTAAAGAAATTTCCCTTTTCAATGCTGCCACAAAAGAAATGAAAAGAAAGAAACATTCTCTGATTGATGTGGGGAAAAACAAAAACAGAAACCCCGAAAAGATATTTCGAAATACCATTGAGAGGGCAGACGTCTAAGCATTTATCTTTCCGTTCTTCAACGCCGTTCTTGTTTTTTTTTTTCATTTTCTGTCGGAGGGAGCTATTCAGGCGCCAGAGAAAGTGAAACATGTAATTTTTTGTTGGACGGCCTACAAAAATCATACGCCGTATTGAGTGAAATCGTAATGGGTTAAGAAATTTCTTAAATACGAAGGTTAAAAGGGGGCAGAGCAATCAGAAAGCGCACAATACACACTGGGAAATAATGATAAGACGCGAGGAGAAAAAGCCAGCCAAAGAATACTCATACGGAATACACTCCACTTCTCTGTGTTTTTCTGGCTCCTCTTTCCCTTGGTAATTACATGCCGTAAAACCAAAATAAATACGCACAGATAAAGATGCACAGATGCAGATACAGATACCAGAGGTTGGGTTGGGTTGGGTTCGGTTTACGGTTTACGGTTCGGTTTGGTCTTTTCCTGCGTTCTTTCTTGTCCTCGCAAAACGAAAGCCGAAAATCAGCGAATTGCATTAAGACTGAACAAAAGCAAAATCGAAAACAGTCAATAAACGCTGTTTAATCAAATGTAAATGTTTATACCGCAACGATCGTCTCAGAATCACCGAGTTTCACTTTTGTACCTCAATCATAAGATTGTTTGTTCTGCCCAGAAAACCAGAAAGAAACACTCTTTTCCGTCTGACCCACATCGAGTTCGTTATCACCGATTTTTATTATCCACTTATATATATTTGGTTGATCGCATCGAATTGTACACATTTACAGAACAATTTATTTTCGGAATACAAAATTAAACACTTAAAACGTTGTTAACAAACAGCAGGAAACCCATCTGAAAGTGACAGAGAAATTACTTTAGTATTATTATGGTCATTTGCATATTTTAATATTGTCTTAAGAACTTAAATTCATTGTACCACATTATAAAGTATAACCTTTTTTTGGCAGTACCAACAAACCTATTAAAATACCAAGCCAGTCTATAGAGAAAGTGAACTGTATAGCTACATTTTCAAAAAAAAATATTTTTTTTTACTTTTATAGCGTCTATGAAGATAAAATTTGATCAAAATATTTGTTGAGTTTAAAATATTTCTGTTGTTTTACACCAATAAATACCCAGTACATGTTCTGTAATTTTATATGCTAATGAATTTGTAAAACAAATAAAAAAACATACAAATTTGCAATGAAAATATCTGTATTTTAATGGTTTCGCATAACCAAAGTTTTTAATGCCAACTTCGTATGTCTCGCCATTCCCATATTTTTCCACTGTTTCTTTTGAGCTCCATCGCCTCCGACGACCAATAAATGATCAATGGCCCAAAGCATTTCGATTTCAGCCAAACTTACTTAATTTGTTTTCTGATTCCGCTCTTTTTTGCGAAGCGTCCTAAGTCCAGAAAAATAAAGCACGGCAACAAAAGCAAAAGGGAAAGAACTACAAAATTCACCTGTAATAACGTCGCAGAAAAATGAAGAAATCGGCTGAGAAGACGCAGACAAAAACAAGAATCGAGTAGAACTCAAAGAAGCGGCAGCAGGAGAAGAAGAAGAAAAGGTGGGGGGAACCGAGAGAACGAACCCGAAATCAGAAACCAGATTTACTACTAATTTAAATTCTTGGCATACAAAATATTCTAAAAAAGCAACAAAGGCGGAAAAAAGGCGAAAACAAAAACAATTTTTGTGTATTGATTAACAAAACGGAGCGAAAATGGCTTTTATTGGCCAAATATTGACAGACATTTCCACATAGATCGTACACCCCTATATTTCCGTTTCCCCTAAACTCTTTATGTATGTATCTGATGGATGGACACAAAATGCCTTCCTTTGTACATTTCCTAGACAAAAAAAAAAGGGAAAAGTACTGTGCACTTCGGCATTTAGTCATCGTTGTCGGAAAGGAAATTTTCAAGAAGTTTAGTCATTCGATATCGATTTCTTACTGGCCCGATATTCCTTTATTAGCTCGCAAGAGCACGTGTAAAGTTGTACACAAATAGGTATTATTCACAAGTCGGAGCTGATAATTTGATATGGTGTTGTATGTATTTGGCATTATGTTAATCAACTGGAGAAACAAATACGTACAGCCAGAGCGTCATTAATTATGCATTTATTTTAAGAGTCTCGGGCCGCTGGTTGTGACCACATTTGATATGAAAACCTCGATTCGTATTTCGAGAAACTGAAAGTTGGCCTAAAAACACAGTTAGGAATTGCCCCTGGCCGTGCATTGTCGTCGAGTTGGGCTGACTAAGTCGTGCTTACCGCCTTAGTCGTCCGATTTCAGTCGCCACTATCAGCCATTTACATTATGAATATCTCGAAAAGATTTCCACTCCGCAGATCTAAAGAAACGTTTAAGCCAAAGTCAGATTTTGTCACTAGGGAACTTAAGCGATACAGAAATAATCTTTTTGTGCTTTACATAAGTCCCAAAAATTTGGAAGAACGTTAACATAAGGATTTTCTTTAACCTTTAATTACTTTAAAGTCTTTATAGATTTTAAACGTTCGTACAAGAAACAAATATATTAGGAAATTTAAAATTTGAATTTAGCTACAAAGTAAAGATAAGATACAAAGACACAAAGAAGAAAATAAGTAAAAAGAAATAACAATGTTGTCTAGTATAAAAGATGTAAGCTTAGTATTTAGATAAAGTATTAGTATTTAAATAAAGACGAAAAAAAGTACACTTGTAATTTAACTGAAGGTAAATTACTTAATTGAGTTCATCACAATTTTGGTTCAGTAGCTTGTTAATGCCTTACAATAGGTCAAATTGCAGTAAGATATTTATCTTTTGGCTTACGTTTTCAAACGTTGAACTTGTCTTCGGAATTACTTATTTGACACTCCCCAGACCACTCGAAAAGCCCCAATTCCCCATGCCGAACATGAATATATGAGATAAATTCCCACATTCTATACCGACGACACGCCCTCCCCTTCGGACAGACAAAAGGCCCACTCGAGATATCTGTGTATCGGGAACTGGGAATTGGGAACTGCAAAGTGGGGATTGTGGACTGGATACTGGATGGTGGATGGTGGATAGTGGATACTGGATGGCAACAGTTTGAGGGCGATTAACGAACCAGAAGTCGCACTTGACTGGCCCGAAGCCGGGATGACATACAAAAGAGCCATTCAAGAGCAGCCTAGAAGATGGCAGATGGCAGATGGAATATGGAAGATGGAAGATGGAAGCCAAGGGGCCAAGAGGCCAAGAGGAAGACGAATCATGATCATCAGCGGCAATTACCGCACTGTAACTACGCAGCATCCGCAGCAGCGAATTTGTAAGCGAGCTGCGTGCAAAGCGAGCAGAAAAGTAGTAGTCACATAGATACACAAGAAGCGGGTATCCAGATGGAGCATCCCCCCTCCCCTTCCCTCTCCCCTATTCCCCTACTATCCCCCTCCAATCCCCTCTGAAATCCCAGGGGTCTCCACTCATCTGGAAGCTTGTTTTGCCGCTCGCTGCGACGCGTCTTTAGCAAGTGATTTCAATTTAATTGACAGTCCTTGAACTTGACTTAAACGCAACGCACAACACAAACAACAATAACAATAAAAACACCACGAGCACAACATCTCTTCACTCTCGATTCGCCATTCGCCAAGCCACGTATATAGTACATATAGTAGGTATGTCCCCCGACTCTTCTTGTGGCAAAAGCCTCTCCCCTTGGCGGGTCCCTCGCTTTCAGAATTCATTAAATTGAAATTAATGTGCTTCGAATATATTCGATTTTTAGCAGTTAAACATTTATAGATATTTGATTATAGAGCTCTGAATAAAGTGGATAATATTAAACGTTTAAGGCATATAGAAAAGCCATAAAATCTACAAACAAAAGTTTAGAGCAAATAACAAACAGGTTTATGTTTGTTTGAATTACAAACTGTATTTTTCGTAATTAAAATGCCTTTTTTCCCCTTTTGCCATTATATAAGCTTTTGTTTTGCATTGTTAAACCAAAACAAATTTCAATAAAATTATAAGGAGTATATATAACACATGTCAAACGATAATCATTTGGCATTTATAACCATAGTTTTCCATCAGCCATCAAACATCTACTTATAAATAAATTCAACAAATTTAGTTCTTCTGTGGATCTATTCATGTCCAAACTATTAATATCTTGAATGAGGTGTGTTTATTTGGGTTAATTAAATATGCAAAGTTATTTAAAATACTACTTAACGACTCGTTCATTGCTATTTTAAGTCAGCGGGTATTTTTGAACATTTGGTTCCTTTTCTCAATCTGTATGGAATTTCCTTGGAAATTTTTAAGGGACTTTAGAGTTCGCCATATTCAACTGATATTTCCTCCTTGTCTTTTCTCTTATTCATCTTAATCTGCATCTTCCTCCTTCCTTTGTTGACAAAGTTGAAGAGCAAAGCCACACAAAAAGGGGCAGCCGCAAAAAGTTGCCCATTTGCGATTTCGGCACACAGTATTTCACTGCTCCTCTCGTCGTCATATTTTTTGGCAAATAAATCTTTTTTAAAACAACGAGCGAAACAGCACAGACACATACAGAGACCGGCAACTATAGTATATACTCATATATATGTGTTGAAACGCATTTGTCTATATAAAATCGTATCATCGCCGCATATATAATTTATTTTGAAAGCGTGCGTACGCCACGCATTTTATGCCGTCTGTCTTTTCGGTTTTTGGTTTTTGGGCCTAGACAAATGGCTGTCCGAGGGGCAAACACACGGATATATACCATATAGACTTTCATTCAATGAATTTTGATATTTTTCGGGGCTTAATTGTTTTTCTAGCTGAGAGGCGGCCGCCTCGCCGAATTCTCGGGGAGATCTATAAAAGTTTACAATTATGACTCGGCAACTTCTGGACGGATATCGACACGTGTCTACGAAGTTTTGTATCTTTTTCACTGCTCTTCTATTTCCCCCATTTCTGTGCGCATTGTGTATACGCCCCGTGGGCCCGGAGTAAGCCGGGGAGATAAATAGCCACAGGTGACAAAAGATGTAAATGCACAACTTGATATTCAATAGATAAGGCCACAGTCCGCCGTCCGCAGTCCGCAGTCCAGTAAGGCAAATGAAAGAAACATGGAGCCGCAGAAGCGAGGCGTACCCGTGCAAAAAACTTTCACCCGCAAATGATCTATGGGCCGAAAGAAAGACTTTCGCATCGGGAGCGCTCGCTGGCGGTACGAGCGGTACGCACATCTAATTACCGCACTCGAAAATGTGATTAGAAATCAGTTCTCGTCGCGGCAATTCCATTCGCATTCGCATCGAGAATCGAAAATCGAGAGAGTGCCGAAGCACTCGGCAAGAATTTTATATTTATAGTGTGTGCATGCGATACTTTCACAATCGTCGGAATTCAAGTTCATGGCGAGTTTTGGCAAGGGCTTCGATTAGACATTTGCTTCATATATATTTGTATATATGGGCGATACCCGGTATCAGTGCCCGGGTTTTGGTTACTAATCAGTGACGCCGCGTTGATAACTAAACCGAAAGGCCTCCGATCAACGAAGTCTATAATGAATCGTGCGTGGATCGCACGCACAGGAAAACTAAATTTTGATTTCTTCGTTTCTGTGTCAACGAACTCGATTGAACTAAATTCTCTTTTATGATTTTTCTGTTTTTTTCTCTGATTTCATGTGTTTTTTTTTTCTATTGGTAGCTTTCGAGACTGACGGTGCGTGCGGCGTTATCTCAATAAGTCTGTTGCGTAGGCCGATTTGAATGCGTTTAGAAAAGAAAAGTTATAGCAGAGCGCGCCCCTCTTTCGGGCTGATTAGAAATCCATCGATATCGTTCCTAATCAGCTGGGAAACGTCACATATTAAGGTGCTCTAACATAGTTACAGAGATTACATAGTGGTGGAGAACGATTAATAAGTAATTTGCAAAGATTAAAGTGTAGGAAGACACACCACAATTGATGTTTTGCCACTTTCGATTAACTACACTTCTTTAATATTTATTTATTTATTTATTGTACTCTGTACTCGGAAGTTGCAAACTTAAGGTACAGATGGGAAACGGCCATAGCAGCGGTGACTTTCTTTAATATTATATTTCATTGAGCTTACTACTTTCATATAAACAAATTGGTATTGTAAATTAATCTGAGCATTAACAAACCTAAAATTGAAAAATCTATTTAGAGTAAAATGCTACGAAAATATTTAAAAACCTATAAGAGTTATTTTATTATTGGTTTTGACAAAGGAAGGGTCATAAAAATATCCCCTAATCAGGAAGTCATAAAACCCTCTAGAGATTTAACTCAAGCTTTGTTTGACAAAATCTTTTAAAATGCCATTAAAACAATTTATACTTTACTTGTACAAAGAATAATTTAATAGAGATTAGAAATTATTACAAAGTCTAGCAGACAAACAAAATGAAATTTAAGCATCTGTAACAGAGGTGTTTGAAGATTATATATAAAATTGTTGTCACAAGATGCAGATAAGGATCCCCCGAGTGGGATGAACCTTTATAAAAAAGCACCCTCCCAAGTTGATAAAGAACAAAGTAATTTAAAATAGAAGTCCCCGTTTTGGTGAATCCCATTGGGATGTGGTCTGCTCCTATAAAAGCGCGAAGAACTCCTAGCTCTCCATCAGTTCAATTTAATCAACAAACCAGCGAAGATGTCCTCGAATAAGTGCGGAATTGTGCTCCTCATCGCCTGCTGTCTGGTGGCCCTGGCCTCCAGTTATCCCCAGCCTTATCCTGAGGAACCCCAGTGGCTGGAAGAGGAGGCTGCCTTCCTCGAAGGGACTCCCTTGGTTCGCCGGATTCGATCGCCCGAAGGAGGATCCGTGGTCGTGACCGCCAGCAAGGACAACCAAGTGGGTCGGGAGGCCAGTGTCCAGTACAACCACAATCTCTTCACCAGTCGCGATGGGCGTGGCAGCATCGACGCCTACGCCCAGGCGAGCAGGAACTTCGACTTCAATCGCAACAACTACGGCGGCGGAGTTCAGGGCACCTGGCGTTTCTGAGCGGGATCGCACAATTACGAGTATTAAGTCGGTTACAAAATGATTCACGTGAATAAATAAATGTGCTTAGCCATGCGTACTCCTCTTGTTGTTTTCCCATTAGCGGCGGATCCTCCTCCGGAGATCCCATAGATCTTCGGGTCTCGCTGCGCCTGACCAAAACAAACAGTAGCCGATGCATTGGGTTATTTACTCGGAGTAACTCAACTGAAAAGACACCACAACAGGGAGCCGAAATGGGGGAAATATTAAGAAACCAACCACAAGTTGGTCAAAGGGAACTACAAAATACTCTTTTTGAAGCTTGGCACTAATACAAATTAAAGGAAGGGTAGACCTTTAGGGGAGTTAATATTAATGAATCAAGAAGCTAAAAAATGCAGAGTTATTTTAAACCTTACTTAATAGAAATTGAAACTAAAAAAACTAAACAAAAACAGGCTAAGCCGTTCCATTATTGAGTTTTATTACTTCCTGCATAATGGTACCTTTTTCTATAAAAAGCATAAAACCATTTTAACCAAACCAAATTTAATATACAATTCAATTGTTAATTGTTATTTGATGTAAAATTTTGAGGTAGAATTGTAGATTTTTTCTTTGTATGAATTTTATGTTTTCTTTACCTAATCAAATGGTAATAAGTTGTCTTATTTTTTGAAGAAGAACCAAAGATCGGGAACTGATCTTTTAATTTTTTAGTTATCAGTATATATTATTGATTTATTATTTTAACCTTCAAGAACTTATTAACAAGTTGGCTGGTTGGTTGAGCATACCCCTTGTAGAGAGTGTGCCGAGAAGTACTAAAAGTCATGACTCGTCGTTGGGGTCAATGGACTTTTCCTTCGCTGCTGGCGTCTTTCGTTGTGTAACCAATAAAAATTGATTCTGTTGCGTGTGTGCTGAGGGGCAGAGGGGGCGTGGCAGGAAGGGGCGGCGAATTACGCACACTGCAGCACACAAACGTACACACAAACACACACACACGTATGAAGGTCTGTTAATGCAATTGGGGGTTGCTGCATTTATCGCTCGGTTTCTTGGGGAATTCTTATGGGAACCCGTCTACTACACATCTATATCCCTCGGTATTCGGTATTCGGGTGTATATAGCATATAGTATGTTATGGGCATGACTAAGGGTAATTACTTTCGCTTTCCGTTTGCTCAGCTGGCAAATCGATAAAAGCGAGCGACGCAAGTCGAGAATACGCTGAATGCTTGACCCCCTTGCACATTTTTCGGGAAAGCCGATGCTGTTTCTGCGGCAACAAAGGCGTCGTTAATGAAACGCCACGAAAACCAAGAAGAAAAGCCAGAAACCAAAAAAAGGAAAAGCAGTGCCTGGAAAATGACTTTCCATTTTCATTTAACAATAAGCAATCAATTGCAAGTTCATGGCACAGCTAACGATCTATTAGAAGAAAGTAAAAACAAGTAACGAAACCCATGCGGCATGGGGCATGCGGCATGGGGCAGAAACAAAAGACGAAAACCGTCGAAAAGCGACGCCTACACGTTGCACCAGGTGAGCCGAGTCCGAGTCCAGGTGAGTTTCCAGGTGAGTGCAGCTGTCAGCTGTTGCCGCCAATCAGTGCGAGCGGGATGCCGATAGCCATGCCTTGGCGAGGGAGAGAGAGAGAGAGGGAAACGGCGGAGATGGCGTCTCCGTCTCTCGTCGACTGGTTTTCATTTCGGCTTGGAAAAACCACACATTGGCATTGCCCCGTTGCCATTTTTAGTGGCAAAAACTGACTGCATCATAATGAAAGTGAAATGCATTGCGCAGATGGCGATGGCGATGGCAGTTACCAGATGCAACACCGCCGGGCAAGTAAGTCAAGTGCAGCAGTGCGGCAGCAGCAGCAGCAACTGCAACTGCAACAGCAACATCAGTTGTTGCAACATGAAGTGCCGACCGAGAGGCGGAGCGGGGCGGGGCGGATCGGATCGGATCGTATCGCTGCGGATCGGAATGCGCGCGCGTCACCGACATCTCCATTCCCATTTCCATTTCCAGCGCCAACTGAATTCGGCACCATTCGGTTAATTGGCTAAATGCGAAAAGCGCTAAGCAAAACACACACTTTGCATGCACCGAGAAAAACGTGATAGGATTGCAACAAGAGCTTCTTCTTAATCGCTAGAAGAATGACTTATTTAATTGTGATTTTATTCAATGATATATTGTTACCACTAATTATATAAAAGGAGTTATAGCTTAAGCCTTATGATAGGAAATGATTTAACAGCATAAAATCCCAACTTTTGGATTTTTTTATCAGGAATATATCAATCATAAAAATAAACCAAAGTGGCTTTAATTAGTATTTTGTTGAAAAGCCCTATAAATTTCCTATTGAAGATGAATTAGATTTTATAAGATAAAGGCAAAGTGGCTTATAACATCTATTTATTAAATATCCTATTAATGTTTTCTTCGGTGTATGCTCTGGATAAATTATGTCAACAGCATGTAAAGCAACAAAAGGCGAGGAGGTACAGTATAGTATGTGCGGTGTGCAATGTGCAATGTACAATGTACAGTGGAGTGTACAATGCAGACAAGTACATGCCTCCATTTATAGCCAGTGTTCAATGTCAGATCGGCGGCGAAGGTCGTTGGATGCAGCGAGCGCGGTTTTCATCTGGTTCCTTCGCTCGGATGTTTATCTGCACCGCCAGCATGAATATGCATCAGTATCTTTATCTGCATCTGCATCTGCATCTGCATCTGTGTCTTTAACTCGTGCCAGTGTGTGAGTGTTCCGCGGAGTTCTCGACCAGTGTAATTGATTCCAGCAGCAGGGAAAACTTGACATTGAGAGTGGCGATTCGCATTGTGGTAGGACCACGATAACTTAACATTACTCACGCATACTCGCAAATAGAATTGTATATTACACATCAGACGCAAAGATTGCAAACCAACTGGATATCATTTTACCTATTAGTTCTTGGTAAGAAAGTTAATTCAATACTGATATTTTAATATAAAGGCAACTAAGAAATACTTCAGTTAATTATGAGTACATTTCAATCTTCAATAACAAAATGTTTAGATTTGCTTAAATAAAAATGTATAAGCATGCGAGTCAAAATTAAGATTAAGACGAATATCTATTTCAAAATGTAATCAACTCACATAAAGCCAAAATAATATTTTTAAAAATTCCAAACATATATTATTTATGCATCTCCAAAAAACCCAAAATAATTGTATAATTCATTGACTCACCTTTCATAGAGTCAGTTTCTCCGGCATTTTTTGGGCGCATGCTTGACTCAATCAAGTCACAATAAATTAACCTCTATTTGTAAGCCAAGTGAATAATGCGAATAGCTAACAAACGGACAACCGAGCACAATGCAACATCAATTCACTTTTTTTTGGTCACATTTCACTGATTTTGAAAGTGAACGTTGTGGCAGGCGGCGGTGGCAACTGGCGGAATCACGAATTTGTGGACGGCACAAATCTCTCCATCTCCCTCATCAGTACAGTGGATATGGGGTAGAGTGGATAGGTGATAATAATATAGTTTGGTATTTAAATGTGTGAGGTTTACTATAAATATGAATACTCTAAATTGATTTGGAATGTGATCACTGCAAAGTAGCAATCTTTATTTTTTCATCAAGAATGTGATAAGAATACTTCTACTTCATTTTATTATTTATGTTTTAGAAAATATCTGTTATCTTTTGCTTTTGACTATTTAATAGATTTTACTGCTAAGGATGTTTATGTTTTTCTATTGGCAACTGCGTGGGTGAAATCCAGCAGACATAAATTTGTCGTCTTGTAGCTGCCGTTTTTACTTTTCCAGTGCAAGCAAATGAAGCGAAACGTGGGTTACACTCTTTTCCATTTCCATTTGCCTCTGCCTTTATTTATTTTATTTCAGCTCTGTTTTTTTTTAGTTTTTGTCTCTTCTATTTTTTGGCATGCATCTGCGGCTGCATATCTTTTTGAGTTACATATTTGTAACGTCTGCGGCCGGATAGACAACGAGGTGGATGTGGATGTGGATGTGAATGTGGCTGAATGGCTGAATGGAGGAGCTGCGTAGGCCGCTCGGCATCAGGTTGACCCAGTTTTCGCTTTCTGTCTCCGTTTTGGCCCGGGGTTTTAGTGATTTTTTTGTGGAAATTATACGACGATATGCAACCCGCCGCAGACTTGTTCCATGTTTGTCCGTTAATTTATGGCACTCGTTGCAGGCTCAATTAATTTAGCACACATTCGTCTCGATCCAATCCAATCCCAGTCCGCCGGCCAGGGCACTTATTCAATTAAGCGCCACGTAACTTTGCCACCACAATGCGAGTGCACTCAGATTCCTACTAAACTAGTTTTGCACCCATCCATCCACTTTCTTGTTCTTGTCGCCTCGGCTCTGGATTTTGCGCATTTGATACAATGAAACGGATGTGACAATGTTGGTCGTTTGTTTATTGGGGAGCGTTGCAAGGGGCAGTGAAGTGCAGGGCTTTTAATTATATTTATTACGATTGTAAGCTTTATACGTCGCGTATACGCGATGGGGTTACTCAAACAAACAATCCGCCCTGTGTGACACTTCGCTATAAGGTGATAAAACCCGATAGCAATCTTACAATATCTGTAAACTTTCTTTTAATAAGAAACGCTCGTAGTTTTTCAGTTCCAATCTAGAAGTTTTACTGACAAAGCGAGATTATAGTGAGGCGTTATACATTTCATTAAAAAATCTTCAAAGTAGATGTAGTAGTACTTCTTGTGGTATAAATAAATAGGTGCAAGAAATTACTCACATATTTTATTTTTTTTGTATATTAAACTAAGGTAACTAAATAGGAAAATTTTAGGAAGTTGTTGCAACCTTAAGTTGTTAATAAAATGATTTTTAAGAAGCTTTTCAAGTCTCTCCTTTGAATTAATTTAAACTTTATAAGATGATATTGACTTTTGGTAAAGTGCAGAATTAACCGAATATTCCCGCACCAATTTCCCACAAATTGCGCTATTTGTGGACCGCTGAATTACTTGTGAGACACACCCAACTTAGAAAGGAAATGAACGCCCCCTGGATG